ACCACCTAGCGACTTAATCAGCCAGACGGTGGGGCTTCTGGCATGGCCTACTCTTAGCTGGGCATCCGGACCGGAAACGTCAAACTCCTTCTCATCTTGGGAGACCCTGCGGGAGGATAAACCTCCGCTGTACTTCGCAGTTTGACACCCGGAGTCACCCGCGCGCCACGATGAGGCGGTAGACCATCACGGGAGGTTACTGTTATAGAATGCTAAAATGTGAATAACGCAATATTGTGCAAGAGTGAAATACACTCTTAGCTGGCAGGACGAGTGATGACATTCCAAATCCTTCCAACGAAATGTATCAGGCTGACAAAAATTACCCTAATTCTCTTCTATGAAAGTTAATCACATTTCTTTCACAAAGAAACACATCTAAGTCGAAGTGTGATGAAATGTGAAAAACCAAGTTGGAACTCACGGCGCTGATTTCAAATCTGCTTTAATTGAATGCGAAAGGTTTTACTGGAAAGTTACTACAGATTTTTCTCACCAGGTTATGAACAAAACATCAACAGCTAAAATAAGCAAAAATCTTGTTAAAAGCACAAAATGATCGATCACCCAATTTTCACACATTCTGCATACCAACTTTCAGATTAAAAAACGCCCATATCAGATAACAAGATGCAATTAATCAAGTCAGACCTGGTTGAAATGCTTGTTTTATTTTACTGCAGTTACTATGTACAATGTGCAGATTTCATCTAAATCCAAATAAGAGTGGAATTCTTTCATTCCAAATACCTACAAGTCGCAATCTAAAATCAATGCTTTCAGTTTCTAGTGGTGCACATCTCACTTCAAAAAGTCACCTGCGTTATATGTTTCCTTTATTAGAATTGCGAATTTTGAGTATTGTGAAAGAATCCACTCTTATCTGGGTTTAGATGAGGACTGCACAATGTACATAGTAACTGCAGTAAATTTTCAGTACGACGTTGCTCCAGTATACGTGCGTGCACCCAAAATCAAATTCTACGCTGGTGCTACGGCCAAATCGATACAAGCTGCTCGTCCTCTCAGAGCTTTCGTATTCCTTTATCTCAACTGCTTGACAGATGATAAGCGTTGTGTACACTCGAGGTTCAGAGTTGTTTGGCCCGCATTACTTAGCTCGTTCATTCTAAGTGAGCCTGATTGTGCATCTTCGAGTAAGGGCAAAATAATTATGTCGATGGCGATCATTCATGGCAAAACTAATGTTTGTCATATTTCTTATCTTTTCTTGAAACTGAAAAGGATGCACATGCACACTAGCCATTATCGCAGTACAAATGCTGACACTGTTATTGTATGCCTCATGTTGGGCAAACGCAAACCTGCGAAAATTAGACAATTACTTCATAAATACGTTTTAATTTCCAATCTCTTCAGTTTGCTAACGATTTTATGATTAAAGATCATTGATGAAAGATTTATCGACCTGCTTCTTTCAGAACAAATATTTTACATTTATAGAGCGGACTCGAATTTTTTTGTAAAGGTAGAAGTTCAATTTTTGACGCTTCAATTAGGTGTAGTCAAATGCCCCATAACTCTATTTCCGAAGACTTCTTTACGAACCAGAAGGGTTTTGAAATTCTTGGTCCTCAGTTTTACAATCAATGCATTTGGGACTTCAACAATACCTTTTTTATCTGTCGAAATTCCTCATTGATCTTCATAGATCAAGCCAAGATGTTTTGTCTGTAACAGTGACCATCTCACAATGAATTGAAAAAATGCAGTTTACGTTGTAACGAATAAAGGCAAAGTCATTTTGAATTGAAACTTGAACAATACATCATTTGGCAATAGATTTTGCAAATCCTATTCTCTTCTGCTCCAGATCGTGAATATGACAATACTGGCGGATGAATGGGTCTCCGAGAAGCCAAGCAGGGTTGTTTCCTCCAGTGTTGATGGAGAAGAAAGCAATAACGCAGAGCTTGGGACTAACCTACAATGGACTACTTGAATTCTGCTCAAACTCTTCTACTGGTGCGCTAAACTTACCTCAACTATGTAATTTTTATAATCTATGGGATACGGTTTTCCTCCAATGTATATAACGATAGGCGAGGGCTTGGCGTTGCAATGAATATGGTAAAGTCGGAATAATCCGAGATACTGAATCAAACCAAGTGGTAATATGATATGATTTGCGCATTGCACGTAGTGTTATGCCAAACCGTGGCTCCAACCGCCCTGGCAATCTTATCCGTTACAACACGTGGAGCTCCAATAAACGATGTTCCCGTGTCTGATGCAACTTCGTATTTCCACCAGCTATCAAATTTTCCCGCTCCAAAACCATTTATCTAAAAACAACGCCGTATCGACCAATGCCAAACAATGGTTGAGGCTGTCAACGCCTTTCTACCTTAAATCT